ACTTCTTGAGTAATCGAAAACCTACGATTTGGGTGGACACGTTGTTTGGATGACACAATATTTCGGCTATTCAGGATTGTTTTGTCATGATATAGCGTGAATGCGAGGTCATCCAGCCCCAACAGTTTATAATTGGTGGTACAAATAAAAAAATTAATAAAAGTAATACGTTTCTGTTGAGTGCGTGTGGTTTGTAACAGAATTAATGTCAGATACTTGTAAACTCCTAATTCAGGTCATCAGAGTCTCGTTTATGCGAGGTTGATTTGAACACAAGAAGCACATGCTCTTCACTCAAGTTGATGCAGGGTAACCTCAGAGGACACACTTGATTGAAATTAAAACGAACCTTATACTGACAGAATACAATTTCGACCAGCCGTATAAGGTCATATTTAGAAGCAGAGATGATTTGACAAAAAATTCCTTCTTGGGAGAGGGGTGAAGACCATGACAGTACGATTTTTCTCATACAGTCAAGCCGCTATCCAGACGCTGCAGGCCGTGAAAATGGTGTCGGCTCTGGTTAATAACTGTAAAAGAACTTTGAGTTGTGATAACACAGTTTCTATGATCTGGGTCCCCAATCACTCTGGGGTTGCTGGTAATGAAGCAGCAGGTGAGCTAAAGAGGTTGTGACGCCAAAGCCACCAGTTGGTGTATCATTTGAGTTGGCCAAGCATAGGATTGGATTGTGGAATGAAGAGGGATTTCGCCTCCTGAGGACCAGATCTCCTGGAATGAGACACGCTAACTTGTTTGTTAACATCGCCACCCGGTTAAACCCGGGAATATTTTAGGACTTGCTCGTAGCAACATTAAAGTTCTAATGGGTGTCTTTACTAAGACTAGCTAGTAGTATTTATGAGTAGATCTGAGACTTGTAGTATTTATTACATGAAACTTAAAATCGTAATTAATGTATGAAATGAAAGAGCAACTCAAACAGTTCCGTTTGTAGGTACACGTATGCTAGAAAGCGGTGGTAGCAAAAATGGCGAATAGAGAACAGAGAAAGCTCTTTGTGTTCTGCAGTTTGCAAAATACGAATATGTAGTTATTGTGCAACTTCATTTGGCAGCAAGATAGTACACGCGATTAGTTGAACGTCATGTATCGACTTGAAGTGTGTCGTGTGACGAATGGGGCTCACATTGAACACTTGTAAGCTTTCATTTCATGTATTAATTATGATTTTGATAATATCTACAAAGCGTAGTTATTAGTATCCGTTTGCTAAACCGTTTGAGAAAGAAAAAAATGTTTTCTACAAAAGTTGTTTGACTCATCACTTTCTATTACGTAAAATTATTTTGACTTATACAGGGTGTTCCATTTCGGCGTAACGGAGAGTATGTAACTTTTTTTTAATGGAATACCCTATATATTTTATCATATTATGAATAGAATTAAATTTGTTTATACAATCGTATGTGTTACTAACTCATAGCGTTCATAGTTCCTGAGATATTCAATTGTTTTTCCAAAATGTGTCAATTGCAGGATCTTTTTAAAAATTTTGCCTTGAATCTATGTCAGACAATAGTCAAAGCCAGTAGGTAGATGATAGTATTCAAAGATATTAGATGCACTATACAGGGTGTTTATAAAGCTTAGTTACTTTTGATGTTTTTCAAATGGCTTTTTCTTAAGTTTTTTAAATGGGACACCCTGTATATTGTGTGCTGGTTGAATTGGCCATCAAATTACCTTTAATTAATGATAAGTATGTCATATATCTAGCTTTAGTAGTTCTCCTGATATTTAGAATAGACTGTCTTAAGTATGACGTCACGTTAGTCGGTCCCCATCTCTATGACGTAAGGCTTAGGTTGTCTATTAAATTTAAAGAATAATGTGTCAACGGCTACAAAAATAACATCGAGTGTAAAACATTCATGAGCTACTAGATTAAAATGTTACTTTGCCTTTTGATGAGGAAAGAAATGAATTTTTAAGAAAAACGAAATACTATCGTAAAAAGAATGTTTTTAGGATCTTAATAATAAAAAAAAAATTATGGCATTCCACTTAAAAAAAAAAAGAGTTGAAAGTCGCCATTTTGAAATAATTCGTCAAATTGAAAACGTGTATCACCATCGTGTTTTAGGCAGTGTTGTTAAATACCCGGGTATTTATTTTCAAGGGAAAATTCCCTGGATATATACCCGGAGGTATTTACCCAAGATGGGTATTTAGAGGTATTTATAAAATTTGATTTAAATTGAGTTGATGGCAGTTGAAGTACTTCAAGAATGCAGAGTCAATTATCGATACACCAAACTTATTTATTACATTTAAAGGATTCCTACAATGACGGTAAAATTGCATGAAAGTACTGACCGAATACTCATTGGGCGTGGGGTAAGATTATGTTGAACCCAAATTGTTCATCACAGTCCTGGAGAGTGCATTTAAACAACTGGATTAGACCCAAAAAGGTATAAACATTGATGGCAATACCTCAGTAATTTGCGCTACGCGGACGATATAGTCCTTATTTCGGATAGTCTTGGAGAGATGAAACTGATGCTGAAGTATGCAACTGAGTCGAGCTAAATATCAACAAAATTTAGGACAAATCTTGTTTCAAGCTCTAACATCAATATTGGTGATAATGAATACTTCTATCTTGAATACTTTCGATGGTATGTCATTAATCCCTGATGCCTTTCCATGTTTTGACGCAGTGATTGCGTTTTGAACCTCACTAATTGATATAGGTTCCATGACACTATCCTTTTTTTGGCGTGACGGACTGCTGTCTATTTCCAAATCAGTTTCTATGCTTAACAGGTTTTGGAAATAATTTTTCTAAATGTCACATATTATTTTTCCTGTTCCATCTCAGCATAGAGCTACGTGCGATTTGTGCCTTTGTCTTAACTGTCTAACAAATTTATACACATTCCTGGTGTTATTAGCTTTAAGTGTACATATATTTCGGAAAAGTTTATATTTTCACTACCGACCATTCTCCTTTACGTAATACTCTTCGAAAATATTTAACGATTTCTTTAATGCTTGAAAAACAACTTTGAATGTCCTAAATTGAGTATCAGTCTAATATTAATGACTAAATTCAGTTTTTGTGCTTCATTAATTCTTGTTGTTTGATTCTTTTCTAGTCATATTGCACTTCCATCAAATCCAAGATTC